ACGCACGCCTAGGCCACCTCAGTTCTCCGCGTTAATAGAACATGTATTCGGCGAGAGCTTCCTCATGGGAGAGACTTGATTTATCGATTCATAAATGTGACGAGCAAAGAGGCTGTTGACGGCTCCTTAGAACCTACCACGCTGCAAACCTATACCTTTCGTCCAAACCCTGCTCCACTCAAGTAGCAGAAATACGGGATTGCTCCCCGAAGCTCCCTTTTGCTTTGAAGAGTGTTGCTTTTAAGGATGGCAGGAGATGATGCCCTTGCAAAAGCTGCTAGAGATTCCACGGAGGGAACTGCCAGTAACGAAGGCGGGAAGTGCGTGATCGCGATGTTGGACGCTTTCATAGCATGAGCTCTCTTGCGCGCAAGGTGTGACTGTGGACTCAGCTAAAGCCCTTGAGGACTTGCGCAATACTTGAAAAGAAAGAACAGAACAGAACAAAAAAGAACCGAAGGAAGGAAGGAAGCAAAAAAAACAGGACCACGCAAACATTTTTTTGCCGTTGGGCAAGGGGGAGACTGCAATTTTCAGGACCAGCTGCATGCCACTGTAATGGCCAGATTGGAGGACGATTTGTTGGTTTTGTCCTGATTTGGGAATGCAGAAGGAATATGTGAACGCGTCCAGGATATTTTGACAAAGCAAGAGACGGACATGTGGCGTCGCGGTCAGGACAAACGTTGACAGTCGCAGGGAGTCGGGAACGGTATTTGCTCAAATAATTGTTTGAGGTGATTGTGATGGTTGTGGTTGCGGTGGTGGTGGTGGTTGGTTGAGATGGTTGGTGGTGTCAGAGAGGCTGGCTAGCAGCAATGCTTGAGAAGAGAAGTTTACGGGGGCCGTTTTTTGGTTGTTGGAAGGGCTGATAACTTAAAAAGTCTGAAACTGTTCTGTTCGCTTTGTCGGGGACTTTGTGCCGCTTGAGGTAGGTCGATGGATTGCTAGCTGGATGGATGGCGGGTAGTTCATTTGTGCCGCTGGCAGTGCTGGCTGGATGGAGGGGTGGGTGGATGGATGGATGTAAGGGGAGGAAGTGTCAGAGAGAGAAAGGATAAGCAGCGGAGATAGAGAGATGAAGTAGACGTGGATAGATGGACGTGTGGTTGAGGAGATAGGACGTGGAGATATGGAGAGATTCAGAGAAGATGAAAATCAAATGGCAAGTAGGTGGATAAGGGAAAGAGCGAGAGAGAGAGAGAGAGAGCGAGAGCGAGAGAGATCGATAATGTGATCTAGAGTTTTTTTTTTTTTTTTTTTTTTTTTTTTTTTTTTTTTATCTTATATATATATGTTGTTGAAGGTTTCGTGATGACCCAACAAAAAAGGCTAATAATGGTACCTCTTATAGCGACAGGGAGCGATGGGTACAACTTTGTTAGGGTTTTTGGTTTGGGGCTACGCAAGTTAACATGTTTGGTTGCGCTGTTCTGTTTTGACCTTGGGGTGGAAAACACTCTAGCCACAGTTCTTTCACCGGTGCCGCGCGACTTTTGATGCTTCACAGGATGAGCAGAGATTGAAATCCGAGGTCGTTATCAACTAACTTCTGGATCAGAAGGCATCTTTTGGTTTCCTTTTTTTGGGTGTTCATAGCAACAAAAGCTTTCACTTCACCTGTCGATTTTCACTGTTTACGTCGAGAGTTCAGGTTGGTGAAAACAAGGGTCAGACATTTAGTTACATTTCAATCCGCGGGCACCACTAGGCTTAACGAGAGACAGAGCGAGGCACCACTAGGCTTAACGAGAGACAGAGCGAGAGAGATTAGCTGCAGAGATAGAGATATAGACTAGGCATAGAGAGAGAGAGAGAATATGTTAAGTAGATGTGGAGAGATAGATGTGTGTAGAGATGGGGCCATGGACGGCTAGTTGGACTGATGTGTGGATGGATAGACACAGAAAAGCTCTCAAATAGATGTGGCTAGAAGTGCAAAGATGACAAGTAAATGCTGATTCACCGTTGTGTGTAGAGATGGAGGGCTTGATAACAAAAGAAAGGGCGCCTGTTTTGGCGAGAGCGAGAGATGCAGAGCTAGAGACTGGCGCTTTGATGGAGACATAGAGAGATAGACAGGAGATGATAGTGTGGGTAGGTGAAGACTTTGGATAGCTGAATGAACCGCCAGTTGGACGAATAGCTGGGCGGATGGATGGACAGAAGGGAGAGTGTCAGAGAGTAGATGTGTACAGTTAGACTTGTGGAGGCAATTGGATGGCTAGTGGGACAAACGGGTGGGGGGATAGGTGGCTGGATAAAAGCGGAAAGAGAGGGAGGGAGGTTGCGGTAGACCCAGTTCCTATCGAGGGAGGGAGATCGAGAGATATCAGGAAACCTTCGGTTCGTTTCGATTCGTTTCCGTTGTTTGAAACTGGAATGATTGCGATTCGGTTCCCCTTCCCTCCGGGAATCGGTTCGGTTCGGTTCCACGTTTTCTTGATCGGTTAACGCAGCAGAAGATGGCATGTGACACGCAGGATTTGGCCGAGTACAGCATAGTTTCCATAGTTTCCACAATGCATACCCATGGGAGTGTTTTTGGCGTTGAGAAGCGGTGAGTGCCATGGTTTTGAGCCAAAGACCTCTTGAAAGTATTTTTCGCAATGTGAAAAATCGTTTTTGGCATCGTTTTCTACGATCGCTCATCTCAAACTCATTTTCGGCTGTCGTGACTCGGTTCCCAAAAATTCTATTCGGGTTAACCCTGTCATTTCGAGATTGGTTTTGGCACCCTTTGCCATTCGTACAGACCCCAGAAACAGCCAACATCATGTTTGGTAGGTCGTTGAAGAATCCATGGTAAAAATGATTTTGGTGAGAATGAAACAGTTCTGTCACAGCGCCTGTCAGTCATGAATTTTCATTCCTGTGTTAAGCAGAAGCCTTCCAAACGGCTTGGTACTATGTCTTCAGGATATTTGCTATTTGGACAGAAACCGTGTCAGGGTTGCAAGCCTTGAGAATCGTTTCTGACAATGTTTGGGCGCGTCCTTGTTGTGACACCTACCAACTGGGCTTGAAAAGAGCCGTCTGAGAGCCAAACAGATGAGCTCAATCAGTCCGAGGACTCGAAACAAAGATGGTTGTTGCTTCAGCGGGCTCCAGCCAGATGGTTTGTTGCTTGAGCGGTTCCATGCGGTTCCCGGTTGGTTGCCATTCCGTTTAGGCGTTTTTATAAGCGTTGCGGTTCGTTTCGGTTTCATAGAAACCGGTTTTCAGTCCGGTTCGGTTCATGCCGGTTCCATAGAAACTGCTACTTTCCCTGGTTCGGTTCGCGGTTCGCTTTTCGGTTTCTAGGGCTTACTGAGATATGGAGAGCTTGAGAACGAATGGAATCCGTTCTTCGGGCGCCTTTGTTTAGTTTTTTGAGGCCCTGATAATAGGCCAACAAAAGGGCACTCTTGTAGCGAGAGCGAGCGATTGAGAGCTTCCTTATCTCGTTTTGAGGGCCTAATAGAAGTAGAAGCATCACTTTAACTTTGTTCGGCAACTTGAGCTGTAGGCTGGTTGATGGATTGCTAGCTGGATGTCAAAGGGCGCGCGCGAGAGAGAGAGAGAGAGACGATGATAAGTGCCATGATGGATGTGTACAGAGTCTGGAAAAGCTGTTGTGGATGGCTAGTTGAAGGAATGGGTGGGTGGATGGTTGGATGGTTGGATGGTTGGATGGTTGGATGGTTGGATGGATGGATGGATGGATGGATGGAAGGTGAGAGTGTGTCTGATAGATGGCGAGATAGAGAGATAAGCTGGAGAGTATGGGAGATAGATGAGAAAGACTGGGATTGTTGAGTGTGGCTAGATGCAAAAAGGTCAACGGATGGCTAGTTCGACGCGTGGGTGGGTGCATGGTTGGATGGATAGAAGGGGAGAGTGTCAGAGAGATAACGCGACAGAAAGATAAGCTGAAAAGATATGAAGATAGAGACATGGAGGGATAGAGAGATTGTTAAGTAGATGTGGCAAGATGATGAGTAGATGTGTAGAGAGTGTAGATAGGTGGATGGGTGGCTAGTTGGATGAATGGGTGGGTGGATGGATGGATGGATGGATGGGGAGGGAAGGACAGAGACATAGCGCGCGAGAGAGAGAGAGGGATAAGCTGAAGAGATGGAGATAAAGAAATAGAGAGAGATGTGGAGAGATGGATGTGTGTAGAGATGGATGGGTAGTTGGACTGATGTGTGGATGGATAGAGACTGAGACTCTTAAGATGTAAAGAGATGGCAAGTAGATGTTGATAGGTTGATAGATCGTTGTGTGTAGAGTGCAAACAGGTCAATGGCTGGCTAGTGGGACGAATGGGTGGGCGGATAGGTGGCTGGATAAAAGCGGCGAGAGAGGTAGAGAGGTAGCGAGATCGAGAGATGGGGAGCTAGAGCACATATGGAAAGCACCCCGAGTAGGGCCCTTTTTTGGCTTTTTTGAAAGCCTGATAACAAGAAGGGCGCCTATTTTGGTGAGATCGAGAGATGGAGAGCTAGAGAATGGCGCTTGCTGGCACTGGTTTCGTTTCCTTCCTTCCTAGGCATGCATATACTGTATATACATATGAAGAAGTTGTCAGGTGACATGCATCATGGCTCGGACAGGAACTAAGGGTGTTTTACCGTCTGCAGGCGCCTCAGCCAAGCTTTTGCGGGGTGGAGAAACCGCGTTCGTTCGTGTGCCATAGACACGAGCTGCTTCAGTGGCATCGGAGCCTTGTTGGTTGCCGCATCCTGGCCTTTGGGTTTGCTTGGTCGCCGCCGCGCGGCCGCGCTTGCTCGCTTGCTTGGTGGTTTTTTTTGCACGCCTTTCTCTAGGTTCCTGAGTTTGAGGTGGGTGATCTTGGCGGGTCCCCTGGTTTAGATTCGGGAGAAGGAGGAAAAGCACCTTGTTTTGGCCTGGTGGCCTTGTTTGGGCAAGCGTCCATAGAGCACCTCGCTGGACCAAGGAGAATTTGATGTTTTGCTGTTTCACGACCCCTTTTTCCTTTTTTGGAGCTGGGCTTCATGGCTGATGAGAAGGATGCCAATGCAGGCGCCTGGACGAGGGTGCCGACCTGGGATGGCTCGCCACAAACGTGGCGAAGCTTTCGCAAAGAGATGTCCTGGTGGCTGGCTGGCTTGGACATCCAAAGCGCGAAGAAATACAACTTGGCCGCTCGCTGGCTCCTAAAACAATCAGGAGTGGTCCGCCAGCGCGGAGAGGAGTTCGATCCTCGCGACCTCGAGTATGGGAAGGAGATCAAGATGCCGAATGCCGAGACCGGCGATGATGAGGTTGTGATGGAGGAAGATCCTCTCAGCGGGATCAACAAGCTGCTGACCGCCCTCGAGGAGATGACTGGTCGGTCCTCTTTGGACAAAGGAGGAGAACTGAGGAATGTCTTCTACCTTGAGCTGAAGCACAAGTCGGGAGAGAGAATCTCTGAGTTCGCCACCCGCTACAGAGGCTTGGTTGCTGAGTTGAAGGCTGAAGGAGTCACCATCCATGACGGTGAACTTGGCTGGTGGTTCAAGCAGAAGCTTGGCTTGGACCCCCTTCGAACTCAGCTCCTTGAAACTGCCCTTGCAGGTGCCGAGGACTACCCGACCATTGAGCGTGAAGTTCTGAGGCTGTTCAAAGACCTTCATGCGGCTGACCCTCTCTACCGCCGTTCCGGCGATGCGGACCAGAAGACTCCTTTGTTGAGCCGGTTCCTGAACCAGCAAAGTGGTGCTAGCAGGGCTTCTTCCTATGCTCCATCAATGACGAGCTCAGCGGCAAGGTCTATGAGGTCAGGTTCCTCTACGGCTTCCTCCGGACGGATGACGCCAAGCACTTCGTTCCGCCGGCCTTTTCAGAAGCAGGCCATGGTGTCGGAGGTTGAGGAGGAGATTCCGGCCACTGCTGAGGCCTATGAAGTTGATGGTGATGATGAGGAGGCCGAACAGCCTTCTTTGGAGGAGGTTCTGACAACAGAAGCTGAAGGGAGTTGATCCTGAGACCTTGCAGGAGATTGAGGAGAGCGTTGAGGCTGCGGCTGAAGCTTTCCTGACCATGAAGGTGGCCATGAAGCAAGTTGCAGGAGGTTCGAAAGGACCGTGGATACGGCAAAGCTGCTTCACCTTCCACGAGCTCTCCCGCCTCCAAGGTGAGTTTGAAGAAGCAGTCAGACAAGCGTCCCTGTTTTGATTGCGGGCTTCCTGGTCATTGGGCGGGGATCCTGAGTGATTTGAAGCCTGGCCAACAGCTTGGACGCAAGAAGAAGGTGGCTCCAAAGCAAGTGAAAGTTGCAGAGGCGCTGAACACGGAGCATGAGGAGATCACAACACCTGAGCACGAAGTGATGATGCTCCGACATGAGTCACCTGTCCTCACCGACGCCTTCCTGTCCACTGTACAGCAATTCCATGAGCCCAAAGAGGTGAACGCTTTGGGCCTAGCACTGGACAAAAGATTGGTGGGGGCGTTGGACAGCGCGTGCAACAGAACATGCACGGGGGCTGACTGGTTGAAGGGCTACCTCCGTCGTTTGAAGTCGTCGGCCCCTTCTGAAGTGTTGGACCTCGTTCGTCGCGAACCTGAACGTGAAACTTTTCGCTTCGGCAATGGGGGCACCCAAGTGAGTGAGGAAAGATGGAGGTTACCCACCATGATCGGTGGGTCGGTGGGACAGTGGTTTGTTTTTAATGGACTTCGGTGGTTCCCGTGAGCTCTTTGGGACTCTTGTTGGGGCGGGACTTTTTGGAGGCCATTGGAGCGGTGATGAACTTTTCTCGCAAAGCGTTGCGTTCTGACCTCACCGACGGCGTCGAGATCCCCCTCAGTCAGCTCGCTGCAGGCCACTATGCATTGCACCTCCTGCCGGACCGATGGCCAGGCCTGGACCCTAGAGATGGAGACGCCTTGGTTTAGATGGTGTTTTGGAAGTGCAGTTTCCTTTCCAGCAACTGATCCATCGTCGGTTGAAGACGAAAGGAGGTTTGCTCAAGAAAACGGCCACGACCAACCATGGCCATTTTGTGACTGAGAGCAGCTTGCAAGCCGGCCGACTCGTTGTCTTCGGATCGTTTTGGCTCGGTTCAAGCGCCTTCCATGTCCGCCTTGCCTGCGGATGTGCTTTTGACATCGACTTCATCTTCTACCAGGGCGACTCCGAGCTCTACTACCGGAGATGCTGGGCGGCGAGCCCTCAAGCACCGGACCGGCAACAAGATGGTGAACCTGTCACTGACTCGGTGGCGACGGTTCGGGAGTGTTTTTGTGGGCGCTGCCAAGGTCGCACTTGTGTTACTTGCCGCTGCCTTATCCCTCTACGGGGACTCCGGATCGCTGGCTGCTGCAAGGCCAAAAGCAAGTGGCCGACGGGCTGCAAGAAGCACCTGGACCTGGCCTACACCATGGACAGGTTCGTCTACAAGAACTTGAACGAGTGCAGCCATTGGAGAGATCGGATGGGTGCGCAGGCATCTTTCTGCGAAGATCCTGTGGCCATGGGAATGATCCATGAATGGGAAGACTGCCAAAGGCCTCAAGGACAAGTTGAAGAATGCGGCCATGGCGAACACTCCTGAAGTTCCTGGACCACAACCCCTACTTGTCCTACCAGAGACTACTGAGGTAGTAAACCCTGGAACTCCTGCATTTCTCCGATCCTCGAGTGAGGCGGCCGATGAGAACCAGTTAGAAGGCGAAGAGAAGACCTACCTCCAGTAAAAAAAGGGTTTTCCTGGGAAGGGGGGTCTCAAAATGAATGGGGGTCTCAGCAATTGACTGCTGGGATGACGATGTTTGCATTGCAATTTTATGGAAACTTTGGGCTGGCTGGTTTCAGCACGGGCCTTTGCAGTTTGATTGTTGATTGCCAGCAAAATGATTCTTGATTGCTGGGCTGATGATGTGAGCCTTGGCAACATGATTCTTGACTGCTGGCCAGAGGGTATTGGCAATGTGTTTCTTGATTAATTTGATGGTTGCTGGGATGATGATATTGGCCTTGGCAATGTAGGCTTGGGTCTTAGCACGCTGAAGCGACATTCGCGCAACTTGTGGGTAGTATGGACGGTCAAGAACCCAGCTTTCAGTTTGCTCAACATTGGGCCAGCGTTGTCGTTTACAATCATTAACGTTGTGGGCGCGACTAGGCGTAAAACGCCAGCAAACAAAACGGAAACGGAGTCATTCTGTTGCTGCTGCTACTTGGGGCCAGGGTGCTGGACGCACAACTGCGGACGTGTGAATAATAACAAGAAACGTTCAGCTGGTGAAACGATAATCCGTCAAACAAATTCAAGAGGGCTGCGAACAGGGGAAGGGACCGAGGGGAGCTGTTGAGAGCAACAGGTAACGGTTTTTTTCACGTCAGCGCTGACCTATTACGTACAGGTCAAACCCCGACCCAAAACGTGACAACAGGAACGCCAGCAACGTTTCAGGCCAAGCAAGACAATGTGCCTGCCCAACTTGAGCCAAAACGCGAACTTGAGCCAATTTTCACTTTTTAAATTTTCACCCAAAATGCACGGTGTCGCTGACTAAATATACAACTTGCTGCAAAGCACCTCTCTCACCAAACCCTACGGGGCTACCTCATCCAAACCCCATCAACCGATTGGACGGTTTCAGTTGCCAAGTGTTATGGGTTCTATTTACGGTTTAATCGATTTTTTTTGAACACTCGCATTGCCGTAGGCACCTCCCGCGTTGACATTTGTTTTGGGCACGCCGTCTCAAGTCCGCTGGCAGTAAGTCAGTTGACATGAACTTTGCCACTCGTCAGCTCACATCTACACAGGCAGTCAGTCAACTTCCTCAACGAGCTTGTCTTCGACCGCGTCAGACTCTTCGCCTCCCTCTTTTTCCACATCGTCAAACTCCCCAGTCTCGGCATCGTTTGGCTTGGAAGCGCTGGCTGCTTCGGGCTGAGGAGGTCCTCCCGTCACACCGTCAGACTTTTCATTTCATTCCACACTTTTCATTTCAGTTCATGTCATGTCATTTCATACTTTTTGGTTTCATAGGGGCACAAAAAGTGGATCCTTCACATTCAACCTGGCTTTGAGCGCACCGTGGGAGCTGCTCTGTCAAGCTGGCCTCAAACAATTTCATTGTTCAAGGCGCGAGCTGGAAAACAGTAAGCAGGTGGACTTGCTTTCCGAAACGGTGCCAAACTAAGCAAAACACTGCCAGTTGTTGGCAATACTCGATGGTCTGCCCTGCAACCATTTGGTCTCTCACAACATCCTCGGCGTGTTTTGAAGCACACAGCGCCCCATGAAATTAGTTCTAAAACCACACACAAAGCTCAGAAGAAGTCTTTGAATACCGTGAAGATCATGAAGGTACGTGCATACGCATGCACACTTGCGTGGCATCCCTTTTAACTTTAGGCTATATTCAACAGATTTCAACAGTGTTAAAACAAATTTCAAGCGGCAATGGCATCGCGAATCTTCTGCTTCTCGAAATACTTGCCACCCATACTAACGAGTTGCTTGCCATCAACTTTGAACGCAAAAGTGTTGCTATACTTGTAGTAGTAAACTGGACCGATCTTCCCAGCAGCATGGCCACCTTAAAGTCTATGCGTTGTTCCCGAACAATACGCGAAGACACAAAAGCACAAAACACACGATGATCTCACTAGACAATAGCACGCTGTTGAAACTATCAATTGCCCATTAAAGCGGCGAATCACAAAAAACAACTGCTAGTTCAACAGAAACGCTTGAAACGGACTGCTTCTGCGCTCGCTCTGCTGGCTGGCTGGCTGCTGGACGCTTGAGCGCTGACGGCCTTTTCATGGCAATGGGCTCAGGTTGTTCAGCATCGTTACCATCAGGCGCAGGCTCTTGGGCTGGTGTGGTTGGGGTGTCCGCCTTCGACTTCGACTTTGCTTGCGCTTTTGCTTTGCTTTTGCCGTTGGCCTTCGGGCTAGCCTTTGGCTTCGGCTTCACAGTTGGATTGGTCGGGGCGGGTTCATCTCCTGTACCTGCCTGTTGAACCTTGGTAGTTTTCTTCTTTGGAAGGGTTTTCTTGGGCTGGGCTTTAGGCTTTGCTTTGGCTTTCTGCTTTGCTTCAGCAGCTGCTGCTGCAGCAGCAGAAGCGGCTGGATCCTGCTGCACGTGGCACGGGGATTTTGGGGAACGCCGTTAGAAACCACAAACTTCCATCGTTCAAAAGCCGACCCAAACTTTTGAGGGGTCCTGGCACTCATCCTCTGACCCACTCAAATTGGTAAGTGCTGGCAAGGCATCACCCATGGCACCAATCACCAGCAACAGTGGTAATTGCAAGTCAGTACGGGGGCCACTACGCAACGCAGACTCGAGGAAACAAAGCCGGCGCATTCATCGCGTCTCACAGAATTCAAAAACTCACTGGAAGTGGTCTGTGGCTTGCACAGCAACGCATTCTAGTCTTACTGCTGCTGCTATTTAACGACATGACCCTGTCAGAACTGCCAGCACGTCAACAAAATTCAGCAACCACCATTCGCTGAGGTTAGCTGCAAACACTTCAAAATGCAGAGCTGCAGCCGGGAGAAAACAATTTGAGAAACACTTTCACAATAAGACCAACATTTATGGTCATTGAGTCAAGTTAGGAACCATCTTGGGAGGCTCAAAAAAGGAAACCTCCTCCAACAGCTCTGCAAAGCATCACACATGCTGCGCTGTGAGCACAGCCTCAAGCACTCGAGTCGTAAGGCTCACAACTTCACGAAAGTTGAGGGAGCCAAGCGCACACTGCTGGTAAGGTAAAATTTTGGCTTCAAGGGAACGACCTTCGGTGTCGAACCACCCGCTTGGATCTGAACCTGTGGCAAGATTGGCATCAAGGGCGCAGTAACAGCAGCAGTAACTGCGACCATTTGAACATATGATTGCAACATCATACTCCAAAAGAAAATAACACACGTGGCCAAGGTTTTGAACACCTTAAGTATATCACTGTCTCTTTTACCACAGCACGAATCTTTTTCATTCTCACCCCCCTTGGCAAAATGCGCGGGCGCTGCATTTGACAACTGCCTACTGGTTTACACATTAAATTACTTGGTCGATGTCTTCTATTTTACACCAAAATCTCTATTCTCCAGTAGGGCCTTTTTGGTTGCTGGACTGGGACCCCTGTCTGAAGACTCGAAATCGGACACTGCAGCTAGGCGGTTGGCTAGTTATTTCTGTCATTTTGATGTTAAAAAATAGAGCTCAGCGCTGTTCGCCAACACACTTTGTCTACCCAGAAGGCATGACTTTAGAGACAAAGAAGGCCTGCCAAATCGGATATAACAACCACACCGGAACACTAAGCGGGCGCAGCCTCCCAGACCAAAGCTGCATGCTTGCAGTTCTCTTGCCGCAAAACGTGGTTCAGGTTGCCGACGAACACAGCTCCAAGGCTCGCAGGTTTGTGAGCCTCTGTGTCTGGGTTCACCAAGGCATTTGGCTTGAAGCAATTGCACTTGTTGGAGTCGGGAACACGCACGTTGTAGCGGAATGGGACAGTCACCGTCGACTCAGCGCCATTCTCAGTAACCTTACACGCCAATCTCTCGGTGCACCAACTCACACGTCAACAACACAGCAACGTGCAGCAACTAAAGAGCGTAAAGGAACTGTCCTTGTCTTCGGCTCGATCTCATGATCCCACACAGTGAAATCTGCAAGGCCCCGCTCACGAGCCATCTTGCACAGAAACGTGCACAGTGGCATGCATTGCTTCTCATGCGCCACCAAACTCATGTCGGAGGCAAGCCTCCAAGGTAATGTAGCCGTCTCTTGGTGCCCACTACCTTCATGGCTCAAAAGGTCCCACTACAAGCAAACATGGCAGTGACCTCGAGGCAAAAAGAACCTAGCAAAATGTATTTTAAAAGAACCTAGCAAAGCCAAGGCACCACGGATGATGAGCACTTGGAATGCTCCGGTATTAAAGCCAAACAGTTCACCTGGCTTGACAAGCATTTCCTCTGTCGTGAAATTCCCAAGGAAAACCCCGTAGGTCTTGGAGATCACAATGGACGGGCGGCCGGATTTGCCAGGACAAAGCGCCAACCTGCCATCTGCAACATTCGGTGAACGGTCATGGTCACACTATGTCACACTGTTTCAATATCAACACAATTTGGTGGAAGCCCCGGCCTCTCTTCTGAAAAGCTCTCAGAGGGTATCTTCACCAAATCAACTTCTCGTTCAAGATCCAGCAAATCTGAATTGGTGAAGTCCGGAGATCCAGTGGCTCGGGCGGAAGGGTTGGAAGGGTTTGCCCTGCTGGTCATGTTCTGGGGCCGAGCAGTAACAGCAGATTGGTCATCCGCGTCCGGCCACAAGACTTTCAACTCGTTCAGCAATTCTGACAGCACATTGTACTGCTCACTTCCCCGTGGAAATTTGTCTAAGACTCCAGGCGGAACTTTTGGCCTGTCATTCTCCCAGCGAAGGACACGCAAGTCTGGAATTGTAGCCGGGTCGCGTGGCCGCCTCTTTGGCGGAGCATGGCTGGACTGGTCCCACCAGTTGTAGACCACTTCTTCAACCATCGGGACAACATCCTGCTGGGAGTCCTTCAAGAGCCCAAGGTAGCTCACATTCTGCATCTTTGAACCAGTCAGCTTTTGCTGCACAATGGCACGGCCAAATTCGGCCCACCTGAACCCGGCAGACGTTAACAAAAGGATGACAAACAAACGAAATGGACTTGATTCTTCAACATTGAACCACTAAAATCTACAACTATTCAATTGTGGTCGAAGCTACCTTCCCGATACAAACATACAAACAACAAGAAGTCTTGGGAGGGCCTGTTTGGCAAAACGTCGAAGACCACCACTTCGTCCTTCTCCTTCAACGCGACGCCCTGCAGGTAGGCTTCCAAGATCAGAACATGCGCAGCCAAACCTTTCCTCAGGGAATGACACCCCGCAGCAAAAAAATGGACAGGTGGCAAAAAATAATAGGATCAAACAGTGAAAAAATACATTGAACTCACATACAGGCTCTGCTCAGCTCGAGCACTGGGGCTAGGCTTGGAGTTTTCATCATAGCCAAGCATGTCGGCCACCCTTACCAGAGGAATGGGCGTGATCACCTGCGGGAAGTTCCATGCGCACAGCTTCGCATCTTGGGTCACAGCAAAGCATGATTGAATGCCCCCCTTTTGTCGGAGGCTGTGGAGTCAGGAGGGCTTGCAAAATGCAAAATGACATCACGAGATGTGTCCATGCGAGCGGTCACCAATGCATCCTCCAGCTTTCGTCGGTGGGAGATCACAGCTGTCGGCTTCGTGTTGGTTTGGTTGAGTGGCAATTGAACATGAGCACCATGACAGCGGGGATTCATAGACAAAACTGTGGAAAGTACTTGGACAGAAGTACTCAACGCTTTGGCATTGGCTGGGAAAACGGTCGCGTCCATAAGCACAAGCACGTACCTCACCACAGCAACTTGGCAAGTTGCTGGACCCGAATTGCCCCCATCGACGGGCCAACCGGCAGCCCCAAAAGGACCCCAAACAAAGCAAAAGGAATCAACTTTTGAACGAGAGACACATCACCACCACCTTCACCCTTACGGCTGGAAAGCTCTGTGAGGTCTCTGATTGCAGTCGTCATGCTGTCATCTACAACAATGAACCTGGAGTTTGCCTCCATCCACTGCCGGGTATAGGCCTGCCCCTTCCTGAGGCGGTGGCTAATCAAAAAACAACTAGACTTTAAATAAGCGCCTAGACTTCACCCGCACACAAAACCCTCAGCATAGGAACATGTTGTTCAAATTATGTGCACTGAGGGTCTGCTGCCTTGACTGCAAGTATTGCATGTCCAAAGCAGTTTCTCTCGCTTCTCGATCCTTGCACGGCTTGCACTGCTCCTTCAGCACTTTGATGTCCTGCTCGACTTTGGCCTTCATATGGTTGAGATTTGCCCACTGAACTTTGTCTTGTAGGTCCCTGTCCTGCGCCTCAAGCTCAGCAGCCTCTCGCCGCTGCATGTCCAAAGAAACGGACCTGCCCACAACGATTTCACTGAAAAAATACCTGGCGCCCGTGGGTAGAAAAAAACAAAGTTGGAAGTCTGTGACACCATGATTTTAAAGAACATCCCCTCAACAACACTCCCAAACCAGCTCCTGAGGAAGCCAACATCCTCAAGCTGACCTGGGAAAGGGCTGCTCTCCATAGCATGCGAGATGTCAATGTCAAGGTGCCCCGACATGAACTGCTCCTGGATACCAGCAATCGTGGTATCAAAGTCATGCTTCGCAATCTTCTTTTCCAACAGGCCGACATAGTGCAAGAAACCCCCGCACACAGCGTGAAGGTTCGCAGTGTCACGGGCATTCCACGCTTTGCGCAGAGTAGGGTGCATCTTGTCCCAGTCAGCGCACATGCGCTGAATCAGAAGCATGACCTCGCAAAAACCACTGTAGGTTTCGCAAGATCCGCATGTGGCAGTTGCCAACTAACCCCCAAAGCAAAAAAAACAATAATAAGCTGATATCATTTTAGTAGCCAGTGTGTGCTGGCCGTCATCCAAGTTGGTCAGAGCCCCTTCCCACGAAGAAATTGTTCCGGTCCCAGAACTGTATGCCGTTGAAAAGATTTCCTTCGAGATGGTTTCGTGATTCATGAAAGGGCGCATGCCCCTTGTCCTGACTGCCTTGATCAACTCGCTCACAACGGGCGAAGGCACACGGTTGATCAGCTGGAACACCGCTGAAGCTTCCTGCTTCCCGATGCTATACGCCTTCGACAATTGGGCCGCGGTTTCCCAGGCCTGATTTGACGTGGCTGCATCAACCCACCTACATAATACTATATGTATATACTATATATAGATACAGAAATCCACACATGAGCGCCGTGAAGTTGACGAGGAAAATTAACCTGTTGGTACACTTCTGACCAGGAGCCTTGGCTGCCTCCTCTTCCACATGAGCTCGCGAAAGAACTTCCATTTGCCGCATGAAGTTGAAGCAATGTGGACTCTTTCTAAGCGCGCTTCCCATAGAGATGCCTTCAACACATGGGATGAGTTAGTAATTCTCTACTAGTTACTAGTCTATAGCCACGTGTACTGACTGGCCTCTGCTGGCAAGAACTTGGTCTTGCACGTGCTTGTAGTCCGCGACAGTGATGTAGACGCTTTGCATGGAAGTCTGGAGCGACCAGGATCCAATTCAGGTCACAAGTAGTTGCCACATAGTTTCATTGTAAGACACGAGCCAGCACAACCCCTACCAAGACAAGTTTGAGAGGCCACAAAGGGTGCGCATAAGGTTTCTTACGCGCGCCCTTTGTGGCCTCTCAACCTTTGGAACAGCAAACTCACAATTTGGCACCTACAGCGCTGGCCTTGAAAGATTCCGAGAGCGAATCCAGCTCTATGTTCAAGGACCGGATTGCTTCAGCCACAATCAAACATGTCACGGATCGACGGTATCCCTTCACGTAGCTGAGGGAAAAAGGTGGAAGTAGTTCGCCTCACTATGAAACACGTCTACACTTTAAACACAAAACCAAGTCTCAAGGGCAAGCGATACAAGCGATAAGCGCTGGCAACAGTTTCCATTCCATCCTTGAGGCCCCAGCCCTCATCTGTCAGTGGTGGGAGTTCATGATACTTCTTATCCAGAAAAGAACTGTCCACCTTGCCAGCGATGGCTAGGCGTTCCACGCCTGGAATCACGTCTGAATTTGTTTTGAACCTTGGCCGGAAAAGCTTGTCAATAGCGAGTAGCGACTATCTAGTTCCAGCAACTCGACACAGTGCACCCACAAAGCAAGTCAAGCGTTTGCAAAACAAGTGTCCCCTCAAGAAGGTAGAGCTCACTGAGCTGAATGAGTTGCTCAGGCTCTATGAATCCAGACAAACCAAAATCTGCACGCCACCCCAAATTGAAGGGTCGCACAACGTGTGGCCCTGGCTGAAGCTCGGCGCAATAAGCCTGCCTCGACAGGGGGCCACACAGAGAAATTGCATTGGGCACTGTCACTCCTGGCCTTTGGTCTGGTGGAAATGTCTGGCTCAGCCACGAAGCAAAGTCTAGCTTTGCGTCCTGTGTGGCTAAAATGAAACTAAGTCCTCCCCATGATGATGCTTAAGTCTTAAGTCCTCCCCCGCGTATTTCTTCTCCAGGTAGACATCCGGACCGCCAACCGTGATCACGTTGTCTTCCAACCTCAAACACAATGACATATGTCATGTACACACATAATTTTTTGGGAGTGGGCATTTTTGTCAAGGAACCAAGTGGTGACCTTCTTGATCGCCGACGCTGTAGCATCAATTTCGAGATTGTTGCTACTCTTCATGAACTTCAGTTGCGACTGGCCTGATTGGCCAGAGACCCGCCTTTTGGCTGGCGGCATGGCTGAGCAAACAGAAACAGATCCTGGCAGCGGGACCCGTTCAACCGGACCTACCTGGCCCTGATAGCGAGAATGCATGATCATAAAGTCACTTCCTGCGCTGGCTCAATAGGCGCAATCACAACTAGACTTGACTCGACAAGCAAAGTTCTCTCTCTCTCTCTCTCTCTCTCTCTATCTCTCATCTGCAGCCGTGACAAAGCGTGCGTGGTCAAACATCTTTTGTCACCCACTGTGTCCATTGTGTACATCGCTTAAGCAAACCGGAGGCGGGTAGCCCAGAAGAAGGACTGGACTGGTGAATCACCTGGCCAGAAAGCAAAATCAACACCAAACATTAAAAGGACACCCAAGAAGTGGTTGGACCAGCAACATGCCTCCTCGCAAGATTGGATTTTGAACAAACGTGTCAAATGTTCCAGAGCCTGTAAGCAATGTGTGATCAAATGGCAAATCACTCGCAACTTTTTATCCATGTCGGGGCAGGAGGAAAAGAAATCTGACCCCATGAAGCGTCAACAAAATTGATCTCCATCATTTCAGCTTGGCCCACACCACACGCCCAGGTTTTGAAGGCAGCGCTTTGGGCTCTGCATACTCTACAGGACTTTGAACTTCCCAAGCGTACACATGCTTGTAAGTCGCAACCACAGGAAATTCACTGACGCTTGAGATTTGATGTTTCCTCATGTGCTCTGGTAGGAACATGTAGTTCTCTGGGCAACCTGTTGGAGGCGCCACAAACCCACGGTGGGCCTCTGCCACTTTAAAGCAGCCGACAAAGACAACTTCTCCGAGCAAAAGCGCTTGGCCAGTTGGAGATGATTTGGCTGTGCACGCAATACCGATGCACGTGTGTGCCTTCTTGTGGCATCGCATGGATCGAATCTCCCATGTTTTGCCACCACGGAGAATGCGCATACACCATTTGTGATCTAAAAGCAAGGCAGAAGTCGGGGCCATGGCCGCGTCCAGGTGTCAAGCAGCAACAGCCTCTATCTCGAAAACATTGGACATGTTCACACCACAAAAATATCACGCATACACTTTATGATTGTCAGCCATGAGCGACAAAGTCACTTGATCGTCGAAAGCCAAACTGGACAGGCACACAGTGAGGACTTCAACAACCCAGCTAGGAAAACCATCCATCACTCCCCAGCATCACGCAACAACCATGGATTGGTGATGGATCCTACCTACGATCCATCACTCATTGCCCAAATCATGATTGGAACCGCCTACCTGAAAACACTGCCTCCACTGACAACTCTCCACCAGACCTGAGCAGGAGTGATGGATCCTACCTAGGATCCGTCACTCCTTCCTATGCTTCTGGCGAGGGCAACGGGTGTTAAATTCAAATTCTACATTGCTAATGTCCATGCCGCAGATAAAAAAACCGGAACGTTTAGGGTTTAGGGTTTCAAAAACTGATTTCAATACACAAACTCACACCCCGATGAAATATACATGCCACATACCCTGCTCCCCGCCCCTGTAACAGGCAGCAGCTGCTGAAGACTTGAAAGCCCGCGCGCCTGAAATTCTTCAGCGATGTACCAGCCCTCAGAACCTGAACACTGGCAAGACAGGCTCATGAGATTAAATTGTGGTGGATGGATCAGAATGGAACAGACTCAGTCAGCTCAGCGCCATTTAGTTGCGCCACCAGCATGCGT